AGATTCGTACTGCATTTTTTGCTCTAAAATGCATAATAGGTCACATCATTTGCAAAAAACTGCTTTTTCACTGAATTTTGAAGCACTTGTTTGACTCGGATGAAGATTCTATGCTTTGCCGAGCCTTTGCAATGAATATGGCGAAAAGCGCTTGAGTTAACATTGCGTAGTCGCTGATATTGATAAACGAGCCCCTACCTCACCTCCAGGTAGACGAGTTTTCGAACCGCAGAAATTGAGTTCTAATGCCCGAAAAGCTCTGTCGCGTGCTCAGCACGTCGTTTGTATAACGACAGACTCGTGTGCATAGCCTGTATGTCATCGCAACTCTGAGGACTCTGGTTCCGCTTTGGACGCCCTTTTTCCAAAAATGAGTGGTGCACTCCGTCTGATCATGATCCTCTCTAACCACCTCGATCAAGCGGAAAACCGCTCAAAACTCCAAAATCCTTCTATTCCTGACAGTTTAGTAAGATTTGAATTGATGAAGAGTGTCTTGTGAGATACACTGCGCACAACCGAACTGCAGACAAAGCGTTCTAACTTCATTGCGGCAAATAGGTCTTTGCAAAAAAACCTGGCGGCTTCTGCATGAGTACGTCGCCATGCAGACAAGGTGTCAACTTCCAACCAAAAGTTTTCGCGTGTCAGAAATCTAGTTTTGCGCCTCAGAAGCGCGCTTACACCTCGGTAAGATGAGGCCCGTTTATCAAGTTTAGCGACTACGCAATGTTGAGTTCAGCACTTTTCACCTCGTTCATTGCAAAGGCTAAGCAAATCCTAGGACGTTCATCCCAGTCAAACAAGTGCTTCAAAATTTAGTGAAAAAGCAGTTTTTTTGCAAATAATGTGAGTTATTATGCAATTTAGAGCTGCAGTACGAATCTTCTTTTTGAAAGGCGACTCCTCTCAAGTGTAAAAATGTTTCATATTTTGATGCTGTACATGTAAAAAAAATTTGAGATTCAAAAAACGTAGTACTGATTGAAAATGAGAGGTGGCTTTGTAGCTGTGACCAGCCTTCGAAACCCGTTTTTTCAAATTTCTAAAGTTTTTTCCGGCCAAAATCCATAGAATTGGAAGCCGTTTTGGTCGATGGTATGACGTTAGTTTGCGCACAAATCAGTGGTTTTTCAGACAATTATGAGCAAGAAAGGGCAAATTATGGTGATTTTTAGTGTGGCTTTATAGCTATGGCCAGCACTGGAGAGCAAAGTTGAAATTTGATAAGAAAAAACAACGAGCAAGCTATTAGGTCGTTTCAAAAGTAATTTCACTTTTTTTTAAACGGGCACCACATTTGACGGAATAAAAATTTCTAAGAGATTCTTGAAGCATTCGATGCAGAATTTCATTCTCTTTCTTCAAGGGTTATGAAACTGTCGCAAAACAGTCAACGAGCTCTCAGAAAATAACCAAAATCTGCGACCCATGCTTTTTAAGATGGTCAAGTTTCACAATTTTTCAAAACTTTCATGTCAATCCTCAGAAGGAGTTCAAGTAAGGATTTGATAGAGTAAACCTTATAAAATACAGCACTACTTTTTCCTCCTTTCCATAGCTTGCATTTTTGACAGAATTTTAACTGATGCTACCGATTTCCATACTTGGGCAGCTAAATCCTCGTAGAATATCAAAAGAAGAGCAGCTTGCGCAGTATTCGATGCAGCATTTTCTCCTCTTTCTAACAGGCGTTTTTTGTTCCCGATTTGTTTAGTTTCCGGGGAGAAATCATTAAGACTCATTTTTTTAGCGAGCCTCAGGCTGTACCCGAAAAACCCGAAATTTGATATTTCGAATACGTAAACACTCACTTGCATTGTAAAACCAATATTAAGTCATATACCATCCTGGAAGTTTCAAATTCCGAATAATCACCGTTGTTTGATGCGATTGTGGCTGACGTAGGCCTGCCAAAATCCGATGGTTTTCTTGAAAAATCTTTTAAAAAATTACAGCGAGCTAGGAAAAAGAGAAAAAAGTAGTACTGTATTCTATAAGGTTTAGTCTATCGAATCCTTACTTGAACTCCTTCCGAGGATTGATATGAAAGTTTTAAAAAATTGTGAAACTTGCCATCTCAAAAAACATGGGTCGCAGGTTTTGGTTATTTTCTGAAAGTTCATTGAACGTTTTGAAAAAATTTCATAACTTTTGGAAAGAAAATGAAATTCTGCATCGAATGCTTCAAAGATCTCTTAGAAATCTTTATTCCGTCAAAGGTGGTGCCCGTTTGAAAAAAGCGAAATTACTTTTGAAACGACCTGATATATTAGGTTGTCCCATAAGTTTTTTCATATTCGGACCTTCAATTCGATTTTTCTCAGGGACTATAGCACCTAGTAGGCTGCAAATTTTTGGCAGCAATTCTGAGCGAATAATCACCTACTTGCGGGGAATACAGAAGTGATACAGGCAAAGTTTGAAAATCGAGCGCATTATTTTTTTCTCGGTTTCTAGCCATCAGAAAAATGCAGCAAGTGCATTTATAAATGTCCGACGAGGAGAGTATATGCATGAAAAAATAGGAAATTTGCAGAGCTGTTTTGAGCTGAGATATGATGATTTTCGTTTTTTCGGAAATTCGGGAAAATTTTTTATTTTGGTTTGGAGCATGTTGCGGATTGGACTTGGTGCGAACTTTTGAACGCCATCTTGTAGAGCTTACTTTGATCTGTCGAATGGTATCCTGCAATTTATCAGGAGTTCAAGAAGAACTGATTTATATCGTTGAAAAGTCAGGTATGAAAAGACTTATGGGACAACCTAATATTTGGGTGCGAGTTGAATAGAAATTTGATCATTCGAATGACGTATTCGAATATATTCGCATTCGAAATTCGATATTTGGAGTCTTTACATTTTCGAATAAAATTCGAAACTCGAATAATCAAAAACATGGTTTCGAGTGAATTTCGAAAATTCGAATAATTAAATAACGAGGATTTGAATAAAACTCAATAATTCGAATATTTAAAAAATGGATTCCCGAATAGATCCTATATGAATATTTTATTCGAATGGACTCCGTACTCAAATTACTCGAGTTTGTTGCAGAGCCAACTGCTGAGTATTAAGCTCGCTTCGTCTGCGTTTCTTTCCGCAAAACTCTGTGATGCACCTTATTAGAATCGTCATGATTGAACTGTATGGAAAGTCGCATTTCTCCGACGGCTTGCCACAAAAAAATAAGTGTAAATTTTGATTGATGCTTTTTCCATCTAAAAGATAGTTCGCACTGCTATCGACACCAAATCAGCAAAAAAAAACAGCTATCAAATCCAAGCTCATGTTCCGAGTTCATATACTGTTGACACGCTTGTTTCTCTTTCTTTGATTGCTCATGCTTTTATTACGCAAAAGTCCAGACTAATGAGCACTCTTGCCTGTAAAACTTATGCTGCACAACTGTCTCCATTCTTTACCCTAGAGATTTTTCGCGAATTGGTGTGTATATTTTGGGTAAAGGGCATCGTAGCTGTAGTGGAGTGTTAGACGGTTGTTAAATTTGGCACTTATATCACCTTGCAAAAATGTTTCGTTCCGTGTGTACTACATGATAGTTCTGTTATCACAGTGCATACAAGATTTTCACGGAGGTTTGCAGGCACTTTAACACCTGGAGCTATCAGCCTACCAATTACGGTAAAGGCTAGAGCCGAACGAAAAAGGTCCACAGAGAAATACGAGCTTTGGTTATGACAGGCCTCGCACATACTTCACGCTACAGTAGTACGCGATTTGCCAGTCACAAGATACTAGCTACCGGGCTGGGATTTGGTACAGGGGGGGGGGGATAAGAAAGGGCGTGATTATTTATACAATCTTATTTCATCGATTTTATCAGTTCTTTGGGAAATTTTGATCTACGAGGCTGGGAGTTCGTACAGAGGTAAATGAGGGTGCTGATCATAAATAAACATCTACTTTGATGCTTTCCTCGATTTTTGCAAAATCTTGAGCTAGGAGGCTGGGTGTTGATATAGGGGATAAATAAAAGTGGTGATTAAAAATAAAATCTATTTCATCAATTTCACCGTTAGAAAATCTTGAGTTAGGAGTTAGTATAGGATATATGAAGGTGCTCATTATGAATGGATCGATCAGGGGAATATGTCAGCAATTTTTAGATCTGGTTGCTCTAGTTATTCGATAAATCATTCAAATATATATTCGAAATTCGACTCCCAATGTTCGAACACAATCGATGTTCATTCATTCAATATTTTTAATTTTCAGATTTTATTCGGGTTTCATTCATTCGAGAATTCTTAAACCTCGAATTTATTCGATAATTGTTTTTTCGAAAATTTTCATTTTTGAATTTATTCGATATCTATTCATTCGATGAAAAATTTCAAATTTACTCGAGTATAGTGAATACTGTTTTTCTTGACCACATTCTGTTCATTTCAATACCAATCCTATCTTATTACAAGACCTTGAAAAATGTATTGCCTTAAGACATCGATTTTTACTACTCTTTCTCTTCACATCCTGCTGCTTGATTTTGGACATAGTGTGCACAAACTCATCAACTATAAAAAAAATTTTGATGACGTACTTTGTCAAAAAAAATCAACTAGAATAGTCCAATGGTGAGAAAACCGATAGGCATGGTTTACCTGACAGTATTAATGTCTACTACAATCACCGCGATCATTACAAGATTACCTAATGACCTACTATTTGGTAACTGAGTACTGAGTAAAAAGAGATCTTTCAAGTTCAAAATTATAGCATCTGCAGTGCGCATTCTGCAACCTCAAAGTTTCATATGTATACTACCTATGTAAACATTGTTAATCTTTCTTTACCGTAATTTTATTCATTTTTGGCAATGCAAACACTACTTACTGATAGAAACATCAAATTTGTATGCAAAATCTGTATACCAACAACGAAAAACAAGGAGGAATGCAAAAAAAATTTCTCAGGGTATAAATATAGTAACACTCTGGCAAGGAAACAGCCTTCACGCTATTGCTTGTTGTTTGACTATGAGTGTAAAGGTGAGTTCTACAACCTGTAAAGTCAAAGACTAGAGAGATTTGATTGTAGTGGGCACTGGAAGCTCTTCTCCTGGCATCTGTCGCCACCTATGCCGTCGGTGAGAGAAAAAATTGTAAAAGTAAGTGTACAAACAATGAGAGAAGTTCTTCAGAAGCTCAAGGCGCTACCTGCGCAAATACAAGGTGCCAAAGCGGCTACAAATGCGTATTGGTAGAGCCACAAAACTGTGTTGGTTGTCCTAACGCTCCTCGATGCGTCCAACAAGGTAAGTCTAGAGCTATATGTAATTTTTGGAAAGATATCTTCTTACAAAATTCCAGAATGCAACACCAATTGTGTCCTACCTTGCCCCTTCCGATATAGCTGTGTGCTAGTAGCTACTAGCTGGTAAGCAAATTTCATCGATGATTAATTAACTTTAATTTTCTCAGTTATCCGGTAAGTCCGGACAACTGAAAAAAAAATTACTGAAAGTTTTTTTAGTTGTGCGGTTGCTACATGCCGTGCACCGACCACTACCACTACCACTACTCGATACACTACGACTCCACGTTACACCACTACTACCACCCGATACACATTGTTTCCAACATTTACATTCCCGCAATTCACTCTTCCCCCGTTCTTGACATTCAGACCAGGGTAAGAGATATAATGGAAACAAAATCTCCGTGTCTCTGTGTGTGACAATTTCTTTGCTACTGAAAAAATTGCAATATGAGGGCACGAATAAATCTTAAAGGCAGCGAATGGGTCTAAAAGTGTGAATCTTGTAGTCTCATAGGATGCATTATAAATTTAGTTTGAGATTTGTAGAAGCGCCATGTCTACGAAGAAATGAAGTAACAAAAGATTCCAGCTATATTCTCACAATCTTCGAAATGATAGGTTTACCGTAATCTAGCAATGCAATAGAATTTATGTACAAAACTTCATGCTCGAAACGGATGCAATATGCATGCTCCTGACTGTTTTGAAAAAAAGAACACATATTTTTATTGAATGGTAATTTTTTACGAGCTCAATTGAGCTTGACTCGACGGCTCTGATGTTAGCCGACTTTTGCATTTGGAGCATGTTACGTTCACTCTTTGCAAGAGCTATGTCCTCAAATGAATGGTGGGAATTACTCGTAAGAGTTTTGTCAAATTTACGATGGCTCCTTCCACTTCTTCTCAACGTTTTGTTCAGATATATTCCACATAGATTTTTGTTCCGTAGTCAGACTAATAAGTTTCTGTTCACGAGGGAAGTGATAAGCTGAAAGCCCAGAAAGGGTGAAAAATGTTTCACTTCCTAGCCTATAATCGTTATTTCCTCCGTATGCCTTCATCCGAGTGGGTATGTCGACATAGAGAAAATCATACAGTATCAATTCTATCAATTCTTAAAAAGCTGTTTTGCGTGCAAGATGGATGAGGTCATGACTTTTTGCTGAAAGAAACACTTAAGCTGTGATTTCAAAGTGGATTACAAACATGTCCATTTTTGTTCAATGTGCAGTTAGCATCTGAAATTAGGTATCTAATTGAGACAATCACTTTCAATAATTTTGAGCAGAATTATTTGGGATGCAACCTCAAAATTTTTGCAAGAAGTTGATCGTAGAAGTTTGCTCGTGAAGAAACGTTGTCTAGCGCTTGTGAGCACAGCACAGAACTTTACATGTTTTTTCTCCTAAACATGCTCTAATTAAGGGCTATCAAAATAATCTATGCACATTGAGTATTTGTACAATAATATTCAATAACGCAAAATTATCAGCCGAGGGAGAAAACATGTACCTGCAAAAGATTATTGGCGTGTTTAGTAGTCGCAAAAAATTAGCCCAACTAATTCTCTAATTTCGGCGTGTCTTATGCGATTCTTGATTGCCTTTATCGCCTTTTCATTTATGTAGCGACGTTTGAATGGCAGTCGCAGCCCTCTGTGTGAGTGTCATCGGTTTGAGACAATTTGTGAACAAAACCATGTCAGCAAATTCCTCAAAGGCAGTGGCTCGGAAAAGTTGCCAATGCCCACTTTTTGTTCCTACTCGGCCTTCTGGATACGTTTAGACCGGGACTGTGCTTAACAAGTCAAAAAAGTGCTTCTTATGGCGATTTCCGGTCTGATCACTGAGGAGGCTGTAGCGAAGAATCCCGCCAAAAACAATGACTGGCTGCAGGAAACTGTAACATCACTCAACTTTGTGGCAATTGGCTGATTAGGCCAGGCAGCCAATCGCGACTCTACAGCCGGAATCTCCGCTCCAGCCTCCCTAGCAATCTCCAAGGCCGAATACGTTATAAAAGCACTTTTTGGACTTGTCAAGCACAGCTCTGGTTTTAAACGCATCCAGAAGGCCAAGGAGGAACAGAAAGCGCGCAGTTGCAACTTTCCCGAGCCACTGCCTTTAATGAGTGCAAATAGAATACTACAGTGATAAAAATCTAGTCAAACCATACACATCAAAGTTAGTTCCATGTATACAGGGTGTCCCAAAAGTATGTATCGAACGTTTGATCGTTAATATCTCTCTTCCCAAGAAGTCTTTTGCCTTGCTTCAAGTACCATTTTGTAGAGCTGGCTTCAACTTAGATTTGCATTAAAGAACGAATCACCCATCTCTCTTCATTACTGTAGGATTACGGTAGAAACTTGAAACATATGGTGTCAATGTGGAAAAAGCTGCAGTTCCAAAATTCTTCAAAAAATTGTGAAAACTTGTGTAATAGGGTTTTTATGGATGCTGAGTTCAATACTCAACTATTCACAAGATTACAAAGCTTTCTAAACGGTGTAATCGCACTTTTTAGGAACATTGAAAAAATGGCCGCTACCTCTTACCTGGCATAACTCCTCAATGAAGCATCATAATAAGTTGGGAACCTTACAGTTATAATCAGCAACTCTAATTAGCCTAGTGTGAAAACTTTCAGGCTGTTTTATTTCCTTTCTAAGGCAAAATATGGCCTTTCATTGCTTAAAACCCTCTTTGAAGTTTCTACCGTAATCCTACAGTAATGAAGAGGAATGAGTGATTCGTTCTATAATGCAAATCTAAGTTGAAGCTAGCTCTACAAAATGGTACTTGAAGCAAGGCAAAAGACTTCTTGGGAAGAGAGATAATAACGATCAAACGTTCGATACATACTTTTGGGACACCCTGTATTTCATACAGAAGCCCAGGCTGGACAAAATGCTCAGGCGTTTAACTTATGTCGTTTTTATACCCGTACAACCTCACACAAAGCAAAATCTCCTTGGACAACCGGGTTAAAGGCACCGTCCACCCAAAGCGAGGTTGATGAGATTTCGGCCTAGTGTGGGCCCCCACACTAGTATGCCACCGAAATCTCATCAACTTCACTTTGGGTGGACGGTGCCTTTAAGGACTTTCCTCTGAGGGTGAAGCAAATTTTCTCAGTCTTCAAAGCACTTTCTTACTAAAACCGGAGTACTGAAAGAGCCTCTTGAAGTTTTTCTTGCAAAAATCTTCAAAATTCACGGACATTAACGAGCGAGTCCCCAATTACTCCAAGGTTTCCATGACAAATATGATAAAAAACATCTTATGCTTGCTCTTTTAAGGCTGTTAGCGTTGCAATCACTTTACCCTGAATTAACTTTGACACAAGAGTTCTCTAATGCCAAAATTTCCGAGTATTAGAATTTACCAGAATCTTAAAGGGAGCTATCTCCCCTCTCAATTGAGTTCGTTCACAGACTTAAGAAATTTAAGGCAGTGCTCCTCCACAGCACATTCATTGCGATAACGCATAGGGTGTTGACAAGCGAAAAAATAGGACTATCAAGCGTTCATCGCTTACTGTTAGATAGTGTTCCTAGATTAGCATTTGATGTTTTCCAGGCTCAAGAAATTTTGCCAACCGTTTGCCGTTACAATATGGAATTTTCCTTCACTTTTGAGTGAATAAGTAATTCGCTCATAAGCTCTTCCACTTTTTGTGTTCATAAGCATTACCTTATTCTTTGGTTGCCTGTATTGAACAGAATTCATTTCTAGGCAGCGGAGAGAAAAGAGGACGATTATTTGCTTCAAAATGGGACAGTTGCTATGTTTTAGTGTTAACGATTCAGAAAGCTTTGTTATGTACTTGAACTTGAACTGCCATTGTGTTCGCGCTGGTTGCCAAGTCCTGCGTGAGAAATGTATAATGTAATGTGGATAGGGGGGGGGATACAAGAGAGAGAAGGCATTTTCTTATTTGCAACGTTTCGCACCTCCCGACACACATTTACTCAACACTTAACAAAGTCTTAAAAGGATGTCAACCGCTACAATCGTCCTCACTGTTTTGTTTTCAGCGAAAATGGTGAGCCATTACTAACATCAGTACTAAATAGCTTTCTCTTATGTCAAAATTCAGGTCTCAAATACTGGTGTGTTTCGTTTCGAATTTCAAGCTCCCCATGGAGACCTTATCTATAGGCTTCCTCTATCGGAAGAAGTTCTATGCTTAAGAGCTTGTTATGATGAGAAAGAATGCGAACTAGCGCAGTACAATGAGGTTTTGTATATATAAATGTTTAAAAAAAGTGACTAAGGTATTCAGACCAGTCGCTTATGTCAGCTATACAGAGGAGGAAATAATCACGTCTCAGAAGGATACGTACTCAAACGCAAACAAACTGATTTCTCATGCAGGACAGAAACAGCCACCGACGACATACCCTTCCAAAAGATAAAAACTCAAGAAAGTGGTTTAAGAAGGCGATGCAACAAATCTGCAAAGCTGAATACTACTGTTATTCAACCTTATAAAAATGGAAACTATCACTTCTTTTATGGTAATGACTACAGAGTTCTCAATGATTGGAAGAATGCTACGGAACCCAGGTTGAGCAGCTTATATCAATGGAGATTGAATAGGGTTATAGTGCTAGGTCGTCTCATAATTTTACCGCTTCACAGGAGGCCATTTTTCACAATTTTATGAAAAGGGTTTGGAGTACTGCTTGCATAAGGTGAGACAATTGCGTATCTACTCCTTAAGGACACGCAAATTTTTTGAAAGCTACCTTACATGGCTTTTCAAATGTGCTAGTGACTTGTTTTTACGTGTAGATAACTGCAATAATCCAAAAAAAATTCTTTCAAAAGTATTTCACTTTTTCTGGATTCAAATAAGCTTAGCGAAAAAAATTCGTGGAAAGTGAGGAAATAGCTTGTGAGACCAAAAATTTGGAGCGCTTAAAAAATTTTAGAAGTGTAACGCCTCGCACCTTCATCCATAAAAGAATTTCTTTGCTTCCCTAGGACGGAAATCCTAGGACCGCTAGCTCCCACCTATATTGCAACGATACATTTAAGTTACATTCCTGACATGGATCCCCAAAGTTCAAAATTATTATAATTTGGAGAATTTTGCTAAGCGTTCTCGATGA